ACCCACCTACCCCCCCCAGGGGCGCATATTTCCCCACCTATCCCCCCAACCCCAAAAGTGCACTCAGTTGACCCACCCAACCAGGCGCTTTATACTACTGCTACACAAAAACCCTTTTGTGTAGCGATCTACGGGAGCGGATCAAAGGATTTGATTTTAATCAGATTGTCTCGTGATAATCGGGAATATTTTGAGTGGACTATTACAGACCACTGTTACAGTACAAAGAAATGCGTACAATATCGTGAGGGGTGTATGTACATCTAATGCAAATGTCGATGTATCCCCACTGCCACATACTGTCTCGTTTGAAATATGACATGAAAGAAACTACAATTATTCCATTTATATCACAGGAGATTTGAACATATACCATTTTTTTAATGAATAAAATTAAAGATATAAAATTAAAAATCGACATATTGAAGTCAACAAAACTTCAATTCGTATCCAGGTTTCATGTGATATGGAATGCATAACGCATACATATATGGACTAAACACTAAAATCCTTCAGTGATTTTTTCCTGATACATATACAAAGAGTAGTCAATATTTATTCTGCATTCATGAATTTAAAAACTAATGCATACCTCCGGGATTCAAATGACGAAATACCAGTATATTTGCACTGTAAACGACGTTTCGTCAAACGCTAATGGTCTGCGACGCAAAAAAGGAAGGGGTGGGGGGTGATAGGGGTATTCAAAAATTGCCTAAAAATCTACATTTAAATATGTTTTACATATGAGAACTTTTAAATTTGTAAGTTAATATATTTTTGAAGCAAAAGCAATATTCCAATTTATTTTTTTAAATGTGTATTTGTAGATTCATATAACAAAGTGATCACCCCCGCCCTGAAAGAGCGCAGGAACGTGATTTATTGAGAAAGGGGGAGGGGGTAATTTTCCGCTATTAAATCAAAATTGGTCGTACAAAAATTATACAAAAAATTATGAAGATTATTTTTACTACCAGCTACCTAAAGAAAGTTTTTTACCAAAATTAAACGACAGGTTTTTTCACAAAAAAAATTTGAATTTGAAAAATACGCAATTTTCAAGGCTTAGATAATTCATAGTTTTTCAGTTTAAGGTCTTTAAAAATTATTTTGATGATATGTATGTTACGGCTTACAGCTTTAGATGTTTAGCGGCGTAACATTGTGGGGCTCCTTAATCTGAATGTTGAACGAAAGACAACAGGATATAATTTGTTTTTAATATTTTATTAAACTTTATTCAATAAACATACAAAAATATTCTTCTTTGGCTCTGCGGTCCTCACCTGAAATAAAAACAAGCTAATTCAGAGAATTCGTGTCCCCCGCTTAGGGAAAAAGTCGGATCCCCCTGACTGAATTTGTAGAATTATTAAATGTATACATGTATACTGAAGCAAATAAAATACATGTATGTCAATATGCATATAAAGATTTGGTTGCTTATTCTTTATTATGTGTATAGAAGATTCTTTTTATATGGAATATTTATCACACTGTAATGATGATTTTATAACCTCATAAATTTTTCATTTCACATGCTGAATACTATCATTTAGTAAAAAGAAAAAAAAGAAAAGTATTAAATAAAAAAAAAAATAACATCGGCCGAGATTCGATCCCGGGACCTCTCACATTGAAAGCGAGAGACATAACCACTAGACCACGGAATCGCTTTATATGGTGAGAAGTATATGCAGAACTGAAGTCACATACACATATATATATATATATTCATGTTTTCATGTTCGGTATTCTCACAATTTTACACAATCCATGGTGTTTGATTTATTTAGCCTTTATTAAACAGTTCTAATAGATGTAATAAGAACATAAAGTCCGCCGAGACCGTTTTATACGCAATAACTCCCTCATGCCCCTGCGCTAAAAATAGCGACATGTAATACTATAAATACTAATAAACAAACGGGGCGTATTATTTGTAGTGGGGCGAGAGACGTCCTAGGGAATTTTGGTATAAAATTACATTGCATAGGCTCAAAATCTTCTTGAAATATCGCTCGGAAATGATAGTGTTACACACAGAGAGCATGTATAAATTTACGACCTTGAACTTTGACCTCTTGACCTCAAAATCAATAGGGGTCTTCATTAGGCCACAGGGAGTTGTTATGTAAAATTTCATCACGATAGCTCAAATGGTTCTTGAGATATCGTGCGGAAACAAAGTGTTATAACAGACAGAATTTCCTTATTTATGACCTTGACCTTTTGACCTCAAAATCAATAGGGGTCTTCTGTAGTCCATAGGGAGTTGCTATGCTAAATTTCATTGCAAAAGCTCAAAGGGTTCTCGAGATATCGTGTGGAAACGAAAGCGTTACAGACAGACAGAAAGACGGACAGACAAGCAGCAGACGACAAACCCAAATTAATATCCCCCACTTTTCAAGCAACACAAACCAACCACCCTTTCCAACAAATGTTAATATAAAAACCACCCTTAAACAAACCCTTTAATAAATGCAAATAGACCTTATATCTTTAGGTCTTGAACAAGATTGAACTAGTGATTTCTTCACTTAGTGAGTATAAATATAAAATGTCAGGTTATAGCAAACAACTAATTGTATAGGGACAAAAGTTATGCTAATATCTCAACAAAACTCAATACAATGCACCATGCATTTGTTAGTTTGTTGTTAGTAACAATGTCTGGAGTTATACATGTAAATATCAAGTTCAGGTCACTTCTTGTGCCTTAGTAATTACTACTCAACAGTAAACAATAACGATGAGTTCAGACCACTACTTGTGTCTGAGTAAAATGAATGAATAACGCAATCAAACGTTGCTAACAAATTCAGGTTAATAATTACCCATCATGTCAATTTGTTTGTCTCTCTGTCTTAAACAGAACCCTTTCTGATGGGGAGACTGCCTTATTCGGAGTTGGTCCGTCAGGTAGACCTTTCCGTGGGTGAGACCGCAGGCGTCTGACCGTTAGACGCTGGGAGCTCGTATATAAAGCCTTTACACCCGTTATGACGTCAGTCACTCGATCAATGCATGAGAGTTGGCGCCATAACGTCAAATAGCTGGAAAACTTCGGATGCACTTAACTATTATACTCATCAGAGGTGTTCCAAATGTACTTTATAGCTTTTGCCGCTTAGTATGAAAAACAGAATGTAATTATAACGTTTTACCCTAATTATCAATGAATGGATTTATTATTTATCAATATTATAAAAGGTAAGCACATTAGGTACTATGTAATTGCATTTATGATGCAGTCAATGGTTTATTTACGTTGCGTATTCCTCAAAACGTGGAGGAAATTCGGAATGAAGTGAACAATTTGCACCCAGATCATAATAAATTCCAAATAACATTAATCAATAATAACAGATAAATAAGAATAAATGTCAATACATATCATTCATTCAATCATTCATCGAATCATTATTTTAACGATTCATATCACAAGAAACATCTTGTTTACTTATTCATAACCATAGTGGAGAATGCCAAATTCGTAACACGGCCCCCTTCTCTATTTAACATTCGTCCTCGAATGTCTACAAACAATAAACAATCTAAATTAATGTTCAGTGAACAAAAACCTCAATATCTCGATTATCTGGTTATCTCGAAATATAGTCTTCGGGATATCCAAGTTAAACTGTAAGTTCACTTTTTTATAAGCAAACTTTAAATTGTATTAAACAAAATCAAATAGGTAAAACACATAACATTCAATCTATTACAATGCTCAAATTTCGATAAACACGATGCACTTGTCGCATTTTCAAAACGAAAGTAGATTTCGTACAAAATCAAAAGGTGTGGCGTCAAATCCTCATGCTGAGAAATGAATCGCCACTGATTGACTGAATCTTCATACAGTTCGTCCACAGGGGCATCTTATCCACTCTGTTCTCTACTTCACATATAAAAAATACACAAGGGAAGAATCGAAAGTAGCACACGACAACTTACTTTGAGAAAAGTTACACAAATCCTGGAACTAGCGCAAATAATGTCCTAGTACTTATCCAGGCTAAAATATTCCAGATATATCCATCGAAAATAGCTTTTATCCAACTAAAACCCCAGCTTTCTGCACAGTGTGAATCTCTCCCAAGAAAAGATAACTCACCCGGATGACAATAGGGTACGTAGCCCGAAGTCTTCCAATGGCACTCGGAAGGCCTCGGGCACTACCCTATTGTCATCCGGGTGAGTTATCTTTTCTTGGGCGTAGAGATTCACACTGTGCAGAAAGCTGGGGTTTTAGTTGGATAAAAGCTATTTACGATGGATATATCTGGAATATTTTAGCCTGGATAAGTACTAGGACATTATTTGCGCTAGTTCCTTTCAGGATTTGTGTAACTTTTCTCAAGTAAGTTGTTTTTTGACTTTTTTTAAAAATCGTGTGCTACTTTCGATTCTTCCCTTGTGTATTTTTATATGTGAAGTAGAGAACTGGATAAGATGCCCCTGTGGTTCGTCAAAATACTTGCAAAAACTGGACTAAATGCAACCGCCAGTAAGTAGATTTTGAATACTCGTTATATATTCCATTTGACCTGACTATAAGCAGGTCTATTTATGTGTTGTTTTGTAGCATATGTGCGAAAACAACAACTGCACAATTCAAATTTACATTGACATCAGTCAAGCATTCTGTGAAGTATTAATATTTCAAAATAATTCTATCTGTTTCATTGCTGATCCATATATTTTATAGGATTCCCATACTCTGAGGGACTCTCAACAACATGGCATGTACAAAGAGAAAAATCAAAGGTAAGCAAAGGTAAGTTGAATAATATTCACTGATGCATAAATATCAATCAATCATTGTAATAAGATTCATAATATGACTGCTTGATGCATAGAATGCATGAAGTAAGTGCATGAATATAATTAGATAATATAGATCAAATATTTACAGATCGTTGACAGTATAAAAACTCAACATAAATAATCTCATCTCATTTTCGCAAGAATGTTCAAGAAAACAAAATTTCATGCGAAAAATCAGCAAATGTCAAATATTCATATTGTCTAGCTACTTCAAAACCATGTTGGTTTATTCTCACCATCAGTTTCATTGTTTGTTACATTTTCAGTTTGTTTTGTAGGGATATCAAAAGGGCAGAGCAGATTTACCACAAGATCTGGTTGTGACAGAACAGTTTTCAGGTATTTTTAAGCTCTTAGTGTTGTCCTTAGGATCTAAAGTTAAACTAACAAGGTAGTTTACCTCCTTGCCCATAGTCCCTGTCAGATAAAATAGGTGAACTTGTTAGGGCACGCTTTAGCTTGTCAAAAGATTTGTGACAGTCTTCATCCCAAACAAATTTATGACTTAGTTCAGTAAGTTTGTGCAAGGGTCTAGCCATATCAGAAAATTTAATTGAGAAACTACTCTGAAATTCTATTAGCAATTCTCTTAATTTTTAGCTCTACTGGTCAGAGACCAGAAGAGCTTATGCGATAGTAATGCGTCCGTCGTCCGTCCGTCTGTCTGTCTGTCTGTCTGTCCGTCTGTAAACAATTTTTCAAAATGCTACTCCTCCTACAGTTTTGGTCTGATTTCAATATAACTTGGCACACAAGTAAACTAATTCTGTGTATCGGTTTTTGATTTCGATGAACGGTGTTGCCGTGGTTACTAAAAATAGAAATTTCTGTGAAATTCTTTCAAAATGCTACTCCTCCTACAGTTTTAGTCTGATTTCAATATAACTTGGCACACAAGTAGACTACACTAAGATACATAATTCTGTGTATCGGTCGATGAACGGTGTTGCCGTTTTAGAAATTTCTGTGAAATTCTCTGCTACTCCTCCTACAGTTTTAGTCTGATTTCAATATAACTTGGCACACAAGTAGACTACACTAAGATACACAATTCTGTATATCGGTTTTTGATTTCGATGAACGGTGTTGCCGTGGTTACTAAAAATAGAAATTTCTGTGAAATTCTTTCAAAATGCTACTCCTTGTACAGTTTTAGTCTGATTTCAATATAACTTGGCACACAAGTAGACTACACTAAGATACAGAATTCTTTGTATCGGTTTTTGATTTTAATGAACGGTGTTGCCGTGGTTACTAAAAATAGAAATTTGTGTGAAATTCTTTCAAAATGCTACTCCTCCTACAGTTTTAGTCTGATTTCAATATAACTTGGCACACAAGTAGACTACACTAAGATACACAATTCTCTATATCGGTTTTTGATTTCGATGAACGGTGTTGCCGTGGTTACTAAAAATAGAAATTTCTGTGAAATTCTTTCAAAATGCTACTCCTTCTACAGTTTTAGTCTGATTTCAGTATAACTTGGCACACAAGTAATCTACAATAAGATACATAATTCTGTGTATCGGCTTTTGATTTCGATGAACGGTGTTGCCGTGGTTACTAAAAATAGAAATTTCTGTGAAATTCTTTCAAAATGCTACTCCAAATACAATTTTAGTCTGATTATAATATAAATGTGGCATGCAAGTAGACTGCACTAAGAACATATAGAGACTTAATCAAGGATCATTATTCTATTTATTGCTGTTGAAAAGTTTCAATTTCCAACTGCTTAAGTACTTTTCTCTACCTTTGCTATAAGTACAATCTAGTAGAGCTTCAGTCTCGACAGAGACTCTGGTTGCTGTTGTTCTTGATCAATATTTTTACAAGAATTCTCAAACACAGACTTCAAACGTTCAGGAAAATTTTCATTTGTTTTCATTTGATGTTTTGTCAAAACATTTATTGATTGGGGAGTATCTGATCCCTGAAGTATTTCTAAATTTGCCACAACAGTCCCTTTGAAAATTTTGACACTCTGATCACCTAAGTTCATGTATCGAACAGGTACTCTATCATTTTCAACTTTTGCCAAAATCTTGGGAACTAATACACCATGTTTATCTAAACATTTTGCCACAGGCTTTAACAAAGTAACCTTGTCATTAAATAATGGGTTTTCCACTTTAGCCGGGGCAATAAATTCACTGAGAGGGGGAATCTCTATAGTTTCCGTCAAAAATACCTTACAACATTGCTTATTCAAAGCTTCATGTGTAAAGCAAGAAACGTCTTTCCCCTTTATTCTAAGTTTCATTTTGTTCAACAGAACATCACAGTTGTGGTCTTTCATGAAATCTAAACCCAAAATACATTTGTTTTGGATATTAGCCACTAAAACATTATGATTCACAGTAACATCTCCCACACATATTTTCACTAGGCATTCCCCTAGGACAGATATTTTCTCCCCACTAACAGAGGTTAGATTTACAAATGAAGGGTTCAAATCTAATTTGCCCTTTAACTCTGAACTGTCTGCAAATTCAGAGCTAATAACTGTTACACTAGCTCCTGTGTCGACCAGTGCATTATCAGTGAAATGTTCTCAAAATTTTGCCCACTACAAAAATTCCTTCACCACACCCCTTTATATCACCTACTCTCTCATTTTTAGGTGCATTTTCACACACAATTTTCTCAACATCATTTTCTGATTTATTGTTCTCAATATCATTTTTTGGTTTATTGTTTATCATATTTTCATTCTCAGTTACATTAACTGTATTTTGACATGTTTGAGGACTCTTTTTAATACACTCATTTCTTCCAGCAGGAAGAGGTCCTCTTGTTTCAACTTTGTTCAACAGTGATTGGGGCCTACCCCTGCGCTTTGCCGACTTCCGCCCCCTGAATTCGACACGGGAAAGTTTTCCTGATTTGAAGATTGGAAGTGACCATTTTGATGTTGTCTATTTTGGTAAGCATTTCTTCTCTCAAAATTTTTTGCATTGTATGGCTGCCTATTGAACTCGGAACTGATTGTTCTGTTGATCATGTTGTGTATTCCCGAACCGAGGATGCGCCTCGCTTGAAATGAGAAAAGTTAGGTCTTGAATTAAGACCATCTTTAAGGAGTGATCTAATCTCTTTTGTAAGTGATTGAGACTCACTTTCAAGACCCTATTTTCTTGCTTGATTGAGGCGAGGAGATTTGTATCCATTTCTGGATGTATGGCATTGACAACTTTTACCCTCTGTGCATCAGCCAGTTTGTGGGTTTCAAGTCTTATAGCCAATATCTCAGCCTCATTAATGTCTCTGGGCCTACTTTCTCTCAAGCGAAGGCGCATATCCGGATCGGGAAGTGCATCTATGAAGTGATCTATATACGTTATTATAACATTTGTCAAGTTTCACGTCGATGACAGGCGCGGATCATCAAGATACGAGACTTGCCTAGTAAGTTTCTGTTATAGAACGTTGTGCAAGTTCAGATAAAGATTATATACTTTAGCAAAATATAGCAAAAGAAAACTTTAGAGATCAACTGCATAACATTTACCCATAAAACAAAGCATAATAACAAGGGACTTTTTAACGCGCAAGAAAAATAACGTCATATTTCTGCGTACTACGTCATCAGTTTCAGAGAGTGGTGATATGGATTCAGAAAACAACATGTTGGTGATCCGGAAAATCGGATCGCGACGTCACGTGATAGCGTAAATTCAACAGTAAAATTGGGTGATACACATTAGGTATATAATAAAATGATAGAACATTTGTCAAGTTTGAATCAGCAGTAGGATATGCTTGCCTAGTAAGTTTCTTGATAGATTGTGCAAGTTCGGATAAAGATTCTTTGTCACCCTTTGTTTTTGTCTTTAACTTAGCTCTGAACATTTCAGGTCGTTCAACTGAACCATAACGCCTATCAAGAATCTTGACTAGGGAATCATAATCTCTGCGCTGAACTTCGTTGAGTTCACTCAAAAGTGCACGAGCCCCTCCCGCTAAACTGCTAGCTAAATATAGTGACTTTGCTCTGTAATTCCAACCATGTAGATCGACCAAGATTTCAAATTGGGCTAGATAATCCCCAAATCTTCTGACCCATCAAATGTAGGTGGTTTAATAGATACAATTGGTTTGGAATGGAAAGGGGAAGGAACTGTGTTTTCATTGTAATTTATCTCCCTTGCAGGGGTATCTATATGTCGCTGAACCACTTCCCCAGCCCCAATGATAGGAGACTGATCATGAAGACCCAGGGACTCTCTACACCCATGCACTTGATATCTGAATGCATTATCTTTGGGGGTCCCCTTTTGTTTTAAGTCATCAACTTGTTCTTGTAATTTACGAGAATCTCGTCTCATGTTTGACAATTGTTCATCTATGTCTTGTCTCATGTTTAAGACTTCTTTGTTCATCATTTCTACAGCTCTTAACAAAAGTTCATTTATGTTTTCAGCCTTGTCAGAGCCTGATTTCTGTATAGGAGATGAGGTACCGGACAGTTGATACTCATCACAAGTGATGTCATCATTCAGATCACAGGACCTGCACCCATTCTCCTCAGAAGCTTCAAATTGGCTGTTTTTATTTGACATTTTGACTTTTGTTATTGCAACACAAATTTTATGTGTTAATAATGTGCTTGTCGTTGTCAATAGACTTAACAAGACTTAGATGTCAATTTTGTAAGATCCTGTTGTAGACTTTCGATCAACCAGAATAAAAGGAAGACTTTATCCCACTTCTGACACCAATTGTTACGGCTTACAGCTTTATATGTTTCAGCGGCGTAACATTGTGGGGCTCCTTAATCTGAATGTTGAACGAATACAACAGGATATAATTTGTTTTTAATATTTTATTAAACTTTATTCAATAAACATACAAAAATACATTGTACTCTTCTTTGGCTCTGCGGTCCTCACCTGAAATAAAAACAAACCAACCACCCTTTCCAACAAATGTTAATTTCAAAAACAACCCTTAAGCAAACCCTTTAATAAATGCAAATAGACCTAATGCCTTTAGGTCTTGAAAAGTTCCAACTAGTGATCTCTTCACTTAGTGAGTATAAATATAAAATGTCAGGTTATAGCAAACAACTAATTGTATAGGGACAAAAAGTTATGCTAATATCTCAACAAAACTCAATACAATGCACCATGCATTTGTTAGTTTGTTGTTAGTAACAATGTCTGGAGTTATACATGTAAATATCAAGTTCAGGTCACTTCTTGTGCCTTAGTAATTACTACTCAACAGTAAACAATAACGATGAGTTCAGACCACTTTGTGTCTCGAGTAAAATGAATAAATAACGCAATCAAACGTTGCTAACAAATTCAGGTTAATAATTACCCATCATTTCAATTTGTTCGTCTCTCTGTCTAAAACAGAACCCTTTCTGATGGGGAGACTGCCTTATTCGGAGTTGGTCCGTCAGGTAGACCTTTTCCGTGGGTAAGACCGCAGGCGTCTGACTGTTAGACGCTGGGAGCTCGTATAAAGCCTTTACACCCGTTATGACGTCAGTCACTCGATCAATGCATGAGAGTTGGCGCCATAACGTCAAAGAGCTGGAAAACTTCGGATGCACTTAACTATTATACTCATCAGAGGTGTTCCGAATGTAGTTTACATCTTTTACCGCTTAGTGTGAAAAGCAGAGTGTAATTATAACGTTTTACCCTAATTATCAATGAATGGATTTATTGTTTATCCAAATTATCAGAGGTAAGCACATTAGGTACTATGTAATTGCATTTATGATGCAGTCAATGGTTTATTTACGTTGCGTATTCCTCAAAACGTAGAGGAAATTCGGAATGAAGTGAACAATTTGCACCCAGATCATAATAAATTCCAAATAACATTAATCAATAATAACAGATAAATAAGAATAAATGTCAATACATATCATTCATTCAATCATTCATCGAATCATTATTTTAACGTTTCATATCACAAGAAACATCTTGTTTACTTATTCATAACCATAGTGGAGAATGCCAAATTCGTAACATGTATATCAAAAAGATGACTATGTTTTTGTGTTAAATTGTTAAAGGAATAAGCCAGTGAAATTTGACATTGATATCTAACCTGGCTTTTTTTTTCTTAAATCAAGGTTTAAGTAGTTCATTGATTAAAAATTTTCTCTCCTCGTAAACAACTAAAGGGGGGGTAACTTTTGGAAGTTCCTGTCCAAAAACCACTCGAACGATTTTGTCCAAAATGTGCATACATACAGTAGATATAGTCATGTACTAAATATACAAAAATAACGAAAATTAAACGACAGGAATTTTTTGGGGTAGGTGTGTTGTACATCCTTAAAATATATAAGTCGTAATATTATAGAGAAAATATAATAACTTCAAATCTGTGTCCAAGTACCTTTAAATTGAATGTACTAGCAATGGGCTTTAATACACCAGGACGACCATTTTGAGTATGTTTATATAATTAAGCTTAAAGTAACATTTACTTTCACTTTAAAAAGGAGAAATTAGTTGTAGTTGTAAAGACTTGAACCTTCGCGTAAAATTTTATGTTTTGGTAAGGAGAAATATTACCAAACAGTTAGAGTTTATAAACGATTTAATGTTTACACTGCAGAGTGCAGACATATCTGTCACAGACCAATACATACGAAATGACATGGAACTGAACAGAGAGTATCAATTGATAACTGACCACATCACCAATGGAGAGTTTGACAGGTTAGTAACTATATATAGAGATACCCTGTTAATAGTTACTAATTCACCAATGGAGAATTCCGACAGGTAAGTAACTATATAGAGAGAGTACCATGTTAATAAGTTACTAATTCACCAATGGAGAATTCCGACAGGTATAGTTAACTATATATAGAGAGTACCATGTAAATAAGTTACTAAGTCACCAATGGAGAATTCCGGCAGGTTAATAACTTTATATAGAGAGTACCCTGTTAACAAGTTACTAAATCACCAATGGTGAATTCCGACAGGTTAGTAACTATATAGAGAGAGTACCATGTTAATAAGTTATGTACTAAATCACCAATGGTGAATTCCGACAGGTTAGTAGATATATAGAAAATCTTATTTATAAGTTACTAAATGACCAATGGGAATTTGCGACAGGGAAGTAACTATATATAGAAAGTACCCTGTTTGATAAGTTACTAAATCACCAATGGAGAATTCCGACAGGTTAGTAACTATATATAGAAAGTACCCTGTTGATAAGTTACTAAAATCACCAATGGAGAATTCCGACAGGTAAGTAACTATATATCAGAAAGTACCCTGTTGATAAGTTACTAAATCACCAATGGAGAATTCCGGACAGGTTAGTAACTATATATAGAAAGTACCCTGTTGATAAATTACTAAATCACCAATGGAGAATTCCTACAGGTTAGTAACTATATATAGAAAGTACCCTGTTGAGAAGTTGACTAAATCACCAATGGAGAATTCCGACAGGTTAGTAACTATATATAGAAAAGTGCCTTCTTAATAAGTTACTAAATCACCAATGGTGAATTCCGACAGGTAAGTAACTATATATAGAGAGTATCATGTAAATAAATTACTAAATCACCAATGGAGAATTCCAACAGGTAAGTAACTATATATAGAGAGTACCATGTTAATCAGTTACTAAATCACCAATGGAGAATTTAACAGGTTAGTAACAGGTTAGTAACTATATATAGAGATACCCTGTTAATAAGTTACTAATTCACCAATACTAACTATATATATAGAGAGTTACCCAGTTAATAAGTGACTATGTCTCCAATGGAGAATTCCGACAGGTAAGTAACTTTATGAGAGAGTACCCAGTTAATAAGTGACTATGTTTCCAATGAGAATTCAGACAGGTAAGTAACTTTA